TATTTTCCTTTAGTTCTTTAGACATGGTTTCCTGTTTCTTGAACACATTTATAATACCTGATTTAAGTCATTGTCTGGTGGTAAGGCCAATGTTTGGGCTTCCTCAGGGACAGTTTCTGTTGACAGCTGTTTTTTCTGCATATGGGACATACTCATTTATTTCTTTGCATGTTTTAAAATTTCATAATGAACACTGGACATTTTAAATAATATAATGTGGCAACTCTGGGAATCAGATTCTTCTCCTTCTCCAGGATTTGTTGTTGTTTGTTCAGTGACATTCATTTGTAAACTAATTCTGCAAAACCTCTGCTCAGCTTACTGGTCAGCTAATGACTGGACAGAGAATTCCTTCAATGCCTGTAACCAATAAATTTCCCAGTCTCCCCAAGGGACTCTGTGCATGGTGGGGTACACCTTCAGTACTCAGACACTTGACAGTTCCTCCTTAGCCTTCATTTCCTGCTTTCACAGAGTGTCAGTGTTAGCCAGAAGTGAGAGCTCAGTGCCTTCTCAGTTGTTCCCTGCATGCACACAGCCTGGACATATCAGAAGCTCTACGGACCTTTCTTTCCTTAGGTTTTCCTTTTAAACTTTTTGGTTAGCCTTTTGTTTATTTGCCCAGCTCAGACAGTCACAATCTTAAACAATTGCCTCTGATTTTTTTTTTCAACAAATGGCCACAGTAAAAAGGCTGTTTACACTAGGTGAGCTCCAAGTCAGGTTAGATAAAGATATCCTTGCGAGTGGGGTCTACCAGGGAACCAACAGGTCTAGGAATGGGGCTGTGAAGGCACTGCAGTCTCCCCCACCAATGGTTGCCAGACTCATTTCCACTGAATCGATTCAACACGTTTACCTTTCATGGTCATTTTGACTTTGGGGAAGAGCCAGAAGTCACACAGTGCCAGATCCAGTGAATAAGGTGGATGAGAACACACCAGAATGTTTTTATTTGACAGAAATCGCCATACCAGAAGCCATGTGTGACACAGAGACTTTCGTTGTGATTACAAAATACACTGAATGCTGCTGCTGAGTGCCATCCAGCGGAAAGGAAGAGATCTTCAACCCAGGAAGCAGCATCTTTAACCTTAGTAACGTGTGTGACAAGTTTCAACTTGTTCGGTGCAGTCGGGTGTGAGCTACGGTTGAGAGAAGGTGTCTTTTAAAGTGTGCCATAAATTATCTTCCATCATGACAACATTCCATGTCACACATCGCTTCTGGTATGGCAGTTTCTGTCAAATGAAAACATGGTGTGTCCTCATCCACCTTATTCACTGGATCTGGCACCATGGGACTTTTGGCTCTTCCCCAAAGTAAAAATGTTTCAGGACATCGAGGCAGCCACAACAGCGCAACTAAAGACACTCAGGAAAGAGGACTTCCAGAACTGCTTCAGAAAGTGGCAAGAACGATGGGATAAGTGTGTTTGAAGCAAGGGCTAGTATTTTGAGGGTAATTAATGGTAATGTGTCTTTAACTGTAATAATTTATTTTTTTATTTAAACATTCACCATATTGTTTGACCGCACCTGGTATGTTTCCTATCGTGAATCATTGTGGTAGCAGGGAATGATGCCACAGTATCATAAATTCAGTTAGGCCACGTGTAATTATTCCTCCATAAGGACAGCCAGAATAGTGGGAATGGAAAGAAGTATAACCTTCTGCAGGAAAGGAAAAGTCCTTTGGTTTGGCCCTGGCTGCTGCAAGAGCCTTTGGTTTTAGTTAAGAAAATTAAAAAGCACACCTGCTTATAGAGCTCCCTCCCTAGGGAGGGACAGCCCTCCACTGCCTCCAGTGTCCTTTTTCAGGGCAGCCCACTGTCCTCAGCGCCACTTCCCCTGCACTATCTGGGTGCATGCTTACCCTGATCTACTTAAACGTTGTGTGCATTTCATTTCTGTTATTATTCATTTTTAATGTCCTCTACACTGGCCTCCTGCTACATGGAGTTAACTGCTTGAATAATCCAAGTTATATCCCCTGATGGAAACTGTAATTTGTGTTATTGTTAAATATTCCATTTAATAAGATATGTAGGTTTTTGTTGTTTGTGATTTTGATCACTCAGGCCTTTTTCGTTCAAACATTCTATGATTGTTTCTAGGTACACGTTTCTGGAATAAATTCAACTTATGTTGTTGTAAGGCCTAGAAAAAGAACTCCATAAGAATGAATTTAGTATGACACAGTGGAAAGAGCGGACGTCTTTGAAATCTGATCTGAGTTTGTTTGGACTTTGGCTCTGCAATGTAGCAGCTACGTGATGTCGCCTTAGTTAAGTTTCAAGTTTCCCATTTGTAAAATGGGAATAATAGAGTGGTTGTGAGGATTCAGTGAAATACTATATATAAAGGTTTTTACACAGTGACTGGCACAAAGTACACACTCAACAAATGTTGGTTTCTTCCCTTTTTCTTTCAGTTCCAAGTGTTTACAAACAAGGAATGACAGCTTTGAGCTGTCTGGTCATGAGTTTTTCTCTGCCCAAGCCTGCTCTGATCTACTCATTTCCTATAGTCCTTTTTTTTTTAATAGGTTTTCGAGCTATATTTCACCTACCATAAAACTCACCTATTTTTAAAGTATACAATTTTGTGATTTTTAGTGTAGTCACAGAAATGTGCAACCGTTACTACAATCTAATTTTTAGAATATTTTCAGCACCCCATAGGAAACCCCATCCCAGTCAGCAGCCATTTCCCAGAACCAGAGGCACAGTTTTGGAATGGTCTTTCCCAATCCTCTTTTTTCCTCAAGCCCTGTGATTTTTAGTGTGCAGTTTTTGCCACTGCTTATGTTGCGTTAGCAGAAATGCTGGTACTAGTCAGGCTTTTGCCCTCATCACCAAAAGTGTTCTTTCTAAGATCACCATAACCTTTTCATTGCCTAATCAAAGTAATGCTTTTTTGTCCTTATCTTATTTTCCCCTTGTGTGGCATTTGCATTATTGGCCACTTTTTTTTTTTGGTGACACTCTTGTCTCCCTGGGTTACTTTGAAGCCTTTCTCTTATCATCTCCTCTTGTCTAGTTGTTCTATCTCAATCTACTCATCTGGTCCATCTTGTTTAAATAAAGGTCCTCCCTATAACCTTCCTCTAATGCTGCCTAAGATCATTCTTTGATGTTTTCACATGATATCATTTTAAAATATTTTTATTTTGTTCCTGTTAGCAACTTGTCCCATTGGGAATTTAAGTGTACCTGTTTCTTTACCTCTCTAACAGCTTTAAGCTTTCTTTTCAAAATTTATTTTTGCACATTTAACAGTTGCAGGACAGGCTTTGTAATTATTTGTTTTGTTGGATTTTTCAGTTGGTAGCTAGGCTAATTCCCAGGTATTCACAGTCTGTATTTCCTCTTCATTTCCTGCTCCTAGTCCATGTTTTCTGTTGCAGACTACCTATTGCCCATGTAGATATTTGTGTATGCTATATATTTGGGGAATTAAATCTTTACTTACATGTTTAGTCACAAATATTTTTTATGATCCAGTTTTGTCTCATTTTTTATTGAATAAAATATTTTTAAAACATATTCTAATTAAATCTGCTTACCTGACAAAAGTAATTTTTTCAGTGATATAGTTCTCAAACTTATTTGTCAGGCCCTTGTAGGAATATCCCCTGGAGTGCTGCACAACAGTACAGAAAGGAAAGTCAGTTGTCCCCTTCTTCGCAAAAGGAAGAGAAAACAAGTAGAATAAAACCTTGGATTGCGAGTAACTTGGTTTGCAAGTGTTCTGTAAGATGAGCAAACATTTCTAATACATTTTAACTTGGTAAACAAGCAAAGTCTTGCAATATGAGTAGTTTATTTCCGGAACGAATTATGTTCTCAAACCAAGCTATTACTGTAGTAAGAAAAAGTTGAATAAAGGAACTTCATAACGATCCTCATCAAGAACTTGAAATCCGGGACTTGAATCTTTAGTTCATGAGGAAACATTTGTAACTTTTATAATTAAGGGATAGCTTTCCATTTTAGTTGAATTTAATCCTATACTTAATTTTTATTGAAATTTTACATTAAGAAAGTGTCATTGAATGAAGATCTGCAACCCTAGACATAAGGCTGTCGCCCATCCTGCCCAGCCTTTCTGTCCCTTCTTACACCATCGTGAAAGTGCGTGGTGCCTGAGTCATGTGGGGCTCTAGGAATGTGTGTCTGCCTCTCCTTTCCTAATCCCCTCTTCTCGTCCTGCTCTGCAAACCGGGCATTGGTCACGTTGTCCAGTCAAGGTGTCAGATGGAAAAGAGCTGGCCCCTTGATATCATTTCTAATATGTGTATAAAAAATTCATTTAAATATTTAAACAAGCACCTATTCTGCTCTTTCTGTTGGCTTCAATAAGTAAAAGCAAGCAAGTTAACAGTTCTTATTTCTTGGTGGTTCTGTAAGTTTCCCAAGTACTTGGAATATATTCTTCAATCTACGTAGGGTACCTGTAGTTCACTATTATAAATCTAAGCTTCAAGTATATTGCTCCCCACTAATGAATAAGTGTAACATTGGCCATGACAATGTAGAGGCAGAGTGGCACTTAAGGTCTAAGTCAGGACCCAAGGGCTTGTCCAGGAAGAAGACTGCTGAGTTCCACTCCTGTGGTGAAGCCATTCAACTTGTAAAAAAGGGTCATGTAATCAGGATTTCAGAATAATTCTTGCCAGATAGAGACAACCTTACTGGTGTACTTACTAGTGTATGTATCTAATACTAGTACATACCCAAATACAATTTTTATTGAAGTATTCTTTGAGATATGTACCCAACCAGTGTTAGTGATGATGCCTTGTTTTAAATTTGCTATACGGAGTGGGAAGAACTTATTTCAAGTAGAGAGTAAAATCAGAATTATGTACTGCTCATGGGTACGTCTAGGTGCTTTTTGCATAGAAGCCAATGCCATTCTTTTGTTGTGGTACAAGCTATGAGTCACTTTTTTTTCCCTTTCATATCACCTGGAAACCACCGGATGCTCACTTTCTAGGTGTCCTGGAGCTTCTCAGCGGAGAGCTGCCCTAGAGAGGAGGAAAACTAGTAAAACTCAGACAGAGCTTGAAAGTGAAAATGGAACCACCATAATAGATCTTCCTGGTACTTTATCACCGGAAACAGACTGTTCAGAGACAGGCACAGCGCCCCCTGAGCGGAACTTGACCTCAGCATCTCTTCCTGCATGGACTGAGGAGCCTGGCCTGGACAACCCTGCCTTCGAGGAGAGCGCTGTGGCCGACGGTATGTCATGTCGTTCTTTTGTTTGTCATCTCTGTTACTCTGTACTAGTTTCCCAACATGCAGTTCCGCCCCCCCCCCTTTTTTTTAAAGATTTTATTGGGGAATTGGGGGAGGGGAACAGCATTGGGGAATCGGGGAAGGGGAACAGACAAGTTGCTGTCCTTTTGTTCTTCAGTCTAGTTGTGGAGGACGTCACTTCACTGGCCCATATTGGTGTTATCATTGCGCTCTTCCTGGCTGAGGCAGTCGGTCGCCAGCCATTTGATGGCGGCTCACGGCAGCTCATGAAAGCTCACACCTGCTGCTGGCCAGCCCCACTGCAGCCTACGCCATCGCGGGCGACTCATGGCAGCCCAGCTCCAGGTCGAGCTGTTGTTCACCATCTTAGCTGGTAGAGGGTGCAGCGTCAGTGGCCCTAATGTGGGATCCAAACCGGGGCCCTGCTGCTCAGAGCTGGCATCCCAAGCCAACGTCTAACAAACGCGCCACTCGGCCGAGCCCAGTTTTTTCTCTTTAAAGAAATAATTTTATTGAGTTACAGTCCACACGATGTAATTCACCCTTTTAGGTGTCCCATCCTAACAGTTTAGAAACAGCACGGGAATCTTACCCCAGAGGAAGGTGGCCCCTCCTCACCCCGCTTCTGTTGTAGTCCATGAATTCTTAGTCAGTAGCATGCTTCTTGGTTGCTTGTGTGTTCAGAAGCTTGATGCTTCTTGACTAAGAAGTCAGTATCAAGAACAACAAAAATAATACCTCAGATTAACTACTTACTTTGTGTCAGGCTCTGTGCCAAGCACTTTACATACATTAACTGATTAAATGCTTGTAACAATATTACAAGATTTTTTTTTTTAATGGTGATAAAACTGAGTCTTGAGAGATTAATTGGCCATGCTCGTACAGCCAGGAAATGGCTGAGTATATGTCTGTCTCCAGGGCCACGCTTCTGACTGTTGCGCTCATCTGGTGGCAGCCTCTAGTCTGACGGTGCAACCCACCAGGGACAAACAGAAAGCCTGTAGTCCTAGATCTTGGACATATCTTGATAGTTGGCCTCAGGTATCACTTTTAACTATGATTCCTCTTAGAAATTCCATATTTTACTATGAATTTCAAATTTTTCCTGCCACAGTTATAGCATTTTTTCGTCTCCTAAGGTTCAAGACCCACCTGTTCTTAGAGCTTGATGTGATTAGTCGTTCAACACCTATAGCGATTACATACCACAGAGTTAGCCTTTTCTTTAGACGGCCTTGCACTGTTTACAGTTGTTTCGTGGTTCAGACTTTCTCTTATCAGTTAGGACAAGATGACATTCTCTTAATATTTCTTTATCAGGTCATTGTGTTGTCCCCAGCGATCTGATACATAGTAGCTATTTGTTGGTCATCTACTGATTACCTTTGGAAGAGGAAATATTTAGATAATCTTAACATAGAGATATTTTTTGACATTCAGTTTTTCTTATTGAGTGACATTGCTTAGTTCTACATCAAAATGTAAAACATTGATTTTCTTTCCATCTATTTTTCTCTCGGCAGCCACACAGCAGCCACCCAGTTTACCAGAAGGCGAAATTACCACGATTGAAATTCGCCGTTCAAATCCTTACATTCAGTTAGGAATTAGCATTGTGGGTGGCAATGAAACGCCTCTGATTAACATCGTTATCCAGGAAGTCTATCGGGATGGGATAATCGCCAGAGATGGAAGACTCCTTGCTGGAGACCAGATTCTTCAGGTATCAGTTTTAATTATTCTTTTAATTTGAGCCCTCTTGTTCTTATTCATAAATTTACCACTTAGAAATTTGTGGTACTTTGGAACCCGAGTTATATATAGGTAAGTTTTATTGTTTTTATATGCAAAGCAGATCAGAATTTATCTTTAATTTCTCCTATTTCCCCATACACATGGAATGTATTTTTTTTTTCTCCCTAACTTAATTTCAATCCCACATGTGACTCAGCACACAATGCTTGGGCTCATTGAGCCAGCTAGACTCCTCCTGTCCTGGACCTCATGGTTGGCTGTCTTTAGGGCCATGCTGAAATTCTCTTATTCCATTGGTTTTATCCCTAGTCCAGTTTTACCATCCATCTATCACCTTCATTGTCTGATTTATCTTTCGCTACACTGATTACTAAAATCTGGAAAAGGCAGACCATGTGGCATTAGTTATTTACAATTTATACCATAGAATTTTAGGTAGAATTCAGAAATCATAGCCATCTCTTGTTGGCTCTCTAATGCATTCTCTTTCACAAACAGTCTAACTCTTCCTTAATCCTTGATACTACCCTTACTTTCTTCTCTTTCAGAAAATGATCTTTAAGAAGAAATAGCTATTTCCAAAAAAGAACTAGCTTGGGACTAGATGCTACTTTATTAGAGGGTATGTTGAGACAGGGGATGAGGATGGTAAGAGCTCTACTGTATAGGACTGGAGTTTATGTGAATACTGGCCTAGATATTTGAATCATACAAGGGTAAATGATAGTTGAAGCTAAAAGAGTAGATAACTTCTAGAAGAAGAAAGAAGAAACTTTTGTGAATTTTAAAAAAATGTCTTAGGGACTCAAATATGGAGAAGTATTTTTGGTCATTAAAAAGTCAACACTTGGAAAGAAGTCTGCTTGGTACCTAGTTATCTTCAACTTTGTATAAGCTGCATCAATAATACAGTGAGCCAATTTGAAAGTATCTAAGCGTCCTTAAGATGGTTTATTTACCCCAAAGAGCTAGCTAACCTATGCTTTTATTTTACCAAACCATATACAGTAACAGTGTATGGCTTTGCCTTTCCCACATCTTCATATAGTATATATACTTGTGTGTTGGGGGGGGGGTCGTATATATGTATACATCTATATCTATATGGTATGTGTGTGTGTATACACACTCACATATACATACATACGTATATGTATGTATATTCTATTAAGTAGCCTCTTTGAAAAGGAGACCACATACCCAGGACCTTTTGCTTTGCACCCTTTTGAGCAGTTGAAAAAAAAAAATACTGCTGTTATAAATTACATCAATATCATTATTAGAAATAGCATAATAAAACTTTTAGAACATTATTAAGAATAGGTAATTTAAGTTTGATATGAATCATCAATGATTTAGGCATTTTGGTTTTGAAAGAAAATAATTACAGTCATGTGTTGATTGCATTGGTACAAAACATATTTATCCAAAAATGTGATAGAGTTAGCTGGCGTTATTTTTACAGAATCTAGAAACAGTATTTTATTTGGTCTCTGCTTTCTCTGAATTTCACTGGCAATCACACATTCATGAAGGAAAAATCTTTTTCTAACTGTGGAATATTCCACAACCTACTTCACGCAGATGCCGTGAGGCTACGTATTTGCACATGGCTGCTGGAATTCAGCCAGCCGTTTCGCAAAGTCATTTGTGATATTTTTTAATATAAGATGGAAAAATGTGAACCTAGAGATAGGTAGCTCTTTAGCTAAATAGCCATAAATGATGATTTGTAATTAATGATTTCACATCAGGCTGGTTTTTTTAGAAGCTGCCTTGAAGTTCCATTCTTGATTCTGTATTATTCCAACATTTTATCAAGGACTTGAATGGCTACCAAGTGCACGGAAGAGCAAGTTTGTGTGTGACATCTATGAATTTGATGACTGAATTTTAAAAGATGTTAACGGGCCAAAATCAATAAAATTCAAGTTAGTAGTGTTCAAAACTATCAACCCTAGATAAATAGGAAGAGAGAGGGCTTGCTTAACAAAGATTCGTGTGGAAAAAAATATAAGGATTTTAGGTGATCACAGACACATAACCCAGAGCCTGTCACGTAACCAACGTGCAGAGAATGGTGCTTTGTCCCTTGCTTTCATCTCAGATTAGAAGAAGAATTCTAATTGTGATAAATACTGAGAATTGTGCTAATGTCTTTCTTTAACTAGGTGAACTAAAGCTGGGTATGTTTTCTTAGTGATGTCACATGACCAAGGATCCCTCACCATACTTATTTCAAGTTTATAAAATTTAGTAAATAAATACATAAGACACACCCTTTTTCGAAAAATTTGGGGTCTAAAAACTGGGTGCGTCTTATACAGTGCTTGTAGATTTTTTTTACTTGCATTTCCCACTTTTTTTGCACTTGTTTTTGCGCTCATACAACCACTGTATAAGACGCACCCAGTTTTTAGACCCCAAATTTTTCGAAAAAGGGTGCATCTTATACATGGGGAAATACAGTAAATTACATTTATTGTATTAGATACCTATTACACTTATGGCTAAAGAATTAGTGTGAAATTATGAGAATCTGCTTTTGTTTAAAGTAGAAGTCACTAATCTAACATAAGGTGGTTTACCTGAAATATGCCACTTTCCTCAAAGGAAAACTGAGTTTATTTCCTCAAGCTTAAGTATTTCAGTTGGGAAAGCCTATCTATATAATCCGGCGGAACTGCAGTTTCTGTTTACGAAAACTAGGATTTCATTAGCACGCCCACAGGCTGATGTTGTCTGTCCATCTCTTCCTGATTCTATGAAGTAGGTAGTAACACACTTGACACATGAGGAAACATACTCAGCAGCTTCCGTCATTTGCCCGAGGTCATTCAGCTATTAGTTGGTGCAAATGTAATTGCGGTTTTTGCAAGGATGCTCATCCGAGACTATCATTAAAACCTGTGCTCCTAATTACTGTTCACTACGTAAGTTAATTTTAGGAACCCTGTATTTTAAAATGTCTTTATCATTTTCATGATACATGTTTACATCGATGTAAATTTTCTTGGGAATGTTATGTAAACATTTCTACAAACTGGGAAACTAAAACACTGTCACACTTTGGTCATAATTGTTTTATTCTAGGTCAACAACTACGATATCAGCAATGTGCCCCACAACTACGCCAGAGCTGTGCTCTTGCAGCCCTGCGGCACCCTCTTGCTCACTGTGCTTCGCGAGAGGCGCTTTGGTAACCGCGCGCACAGCAACTCTGACGGGACCTCCCCACGAGAAGATGTCTTCCACGTGGCGCTTCATAAACGTGACTCCGGTGAACAGCTCGGCATTAAGCTCGTGCGAAGGACGGATGAGCCAGGCGTTTTTATTCTTGACCTGTTGGAAGGGGGGCTGGCAGCGCAGGATGGGAGGCTCAGCAGCAGTGACCGCGTGCTCGCCATCAATGGGCACGACCTGAAGCACGGGACTCCCGAGCTGGCCGCCCAGATCATCCAGGTGACTACACTCCAGAGGCTCAGCCTTCCTGCCCGTGTATCCATATTTGTTTCCATTGGCTGGTGACATAAGAATCCAGGGCATACTTGGCATTTTGCTGGGAAATCAAGCATGACTATCTAAATTCTTCAAAGTCCACAGTGGTGTAATCACATTATAGGTAGAATCTTTCAAAAGTTCACTGGGATACATGAACTTTGAGGCTGGCTGTTTATGAGGTAAAGTCTGTGCAGCTTGTCACGCATTTCTCATTTGCTCCCTGGGCTCCATCTCTTACCAGACATAACAGGTGCTGGAGTCCACATTTAACAAGTGAGAAAAATGAGGCTCAAAGGGTCTGTGGTGACCGAGGTTGTGATGTACCAGGTCTCTTAACTTTCCTTCTTCACTTCAGGATCCATAAAAATAGAGGGAAGGTCATTTTTTAATTAAGAGGCACTTGTATCTCTACAGTGCCCTTTTTTTTTCTTTTTAAGGAATTCAGAGCATTTCAAACATATCATAACATCTGCCCTGCCAGTGTCCATGTGAAATAAGTAAGGATATGTATTAGAGAAAAATCATGTTTTCAGACAAGCATTAAAACAGAGAAATTAGAAAAACATCCAGAGAAGATGGTCAGGTTCTTCAACATGCCGTGGCAGTTAACCCGCCATAGGTATCTCCCACAGTGATCAGGTTGAATCAAAACTGTTGTGCTTTTCTTTAAGTAAGCACAACAAAGCACTCTAAAGGAAGCCAAGCATTAATATAATTGAGCATCAGGAATTTAGGTTGATAGTCACTAAAAAATGTGTATTCTACACAAACTCAAATAACAATGAAAATTTAAGACTATAAGAAAACCCAAGTCTCAATCCTCTTTAACTTACTCTTTTTTTTTTAAAGTTTTTGGTTCAATGTAGCCTTAAGAAAATACATACACACACACACACACACACACACACACACACACACACACACACACACACACACACACACACACACACACGGCCAGGTTGCATTGAGAAGACATTCAGTAATTGGTGTCAGTTCATAGAGTTGAGGTTTAAAGAAATTGGATGCCTCAAAATTCCTTGAAACCAGAGGCAGAATTCAGATCTTTATCTGTGGACACTAGCCAGCTGCTGCACCAGTAAAAACAAGTTCATCCTGTTAGAGTTGGGATTTGTGGGAGGGGGGGAAGAAGAAGATAGTTAACCTGGTTACGGGATTTGTTAAAGGAAACAGGAGAGTTGAGATGACTTTACGAAGTGAGAAGTGAGGTCAGTGAGGTAGAAATAGATTGACTATACATACCTTAGGCAACGTTAAAATACTCTGTTTCCTAAATAGATGATTCTGACTATTATAAATTTCTAACCAAAATGTAGGAAATAGATAGATAACATAGATAGAAAATACATTCAAAATATTTTATGATAATATATTGTATATTTGAATTTTTATAATCCAAATAGTTAAATAGTTGCATCATTTTTTGTGCTGTAATTTCCCCAAAATTATGGAAAACAAGTTGCTCAATTTAAATTTCTTTGTGAAAAAAAATAAAAGCCTTACGGCTTTAGGATTTTAAAAATAACACATACTCCATGTCTAAAAATGAGAATCATGAAGACAAGGGATCAACTTGCCACCTCGAACCATGTGATATAATAGTCTGAAGTGTCACAATTGTAAATATTGCATTTTGAATATTCTGCTTTGGTATTTACCCTTTAGATCAAGTCCCCACACACTGCTCTGGAAGCCTGATCGTATATTCACTGTTGTTCTTTCAGTTATTTTAAAGAACTTGTCTGAAACTATTTAGTTTAATAAAATGCTTGAATAACCAAATGATTGTTAGTAGGGCCTTAAAATTGATTGTCACTCATTTCCAATTTAAGAACTAAAAATAGAATGATTTAACATTGATTACAGTTACGGAGGAAGTCCCCTCTTTCTACCACAATTCCTTGAAAGCAGGCTGTCATATTTTCCCATAGGAATAATAATAAAATTCAGAATAGTGGTCATACCAAGAGTCAGCATCAAATAAATCAGGCCCATACATTAAAAGCAAAGATAAAATAACTTAAATATTAAATATGATAAATTATTTTTAAAGTACACTAGATGTGAATCAATGTCTAAAATATATATGGATAATGGACCTCTGAATTTAAAATGTTAGTCATAAACCTCTAAAATAATTTACCATAACACTTAAGGATGTGTGTGTGACACACACACACACAGTATGTATATGTATAAATATTAATCTCATTACATAGGATCTCTATAATCATTCTTTTCAGGACTATTGAAGCTGACGTCCTATTTTGACTCAAACCTACTAAAAGCAGAAACAAAGCTATGCATAGTTTCATTGATTATTACTTCCAAAGTAGCCACTGTGAAATTTATTTCAAAAGTCACAGTAGATCTTAATCACGTTTTGAATCTGTTCTTCCTTTCTGTCTCCTTTCCTTTGCTCTCTCCCTCGCAATACCAAGGCCAGCCTTGAAGAGGCAAAAAAGAATTAAAGGACATCACCCTTCAAGAAGTTATGGGGGCTGAGAGCACAGACAGCTCCACTACTTTGTCTTGGTTATATGGAGGTGGGGTTTGGGAGGGCATGTTCCAGAGCTGTGTGTGTGCATGTTTCAGCTGCAGAAGTTTTAAAGTATTATCTCATAAAATGAGCTCCGTTCCTCCCACCACCGGCCGCTCGCAGGCACTGCCCCTGCGATGCTCTGGTACAATAAGTGCATTGGAAATTGCACTGCCTACGAGTTCCACACTGAGGAATACCGTTGGTGACCGTGCTAATGTATGTTTTCTCCAGGCTAGTGGAGAAAGGGTGAATTTAACAATTGCTAGACCTGGGAAACCCCCGCTGGGAAACGCTATCCGAGAGGCAGGAACCCAGAGCAGCAGCCAACAGCCAGCACAGCCACTGTGTTACAGCAGACCCAGCTCACACAAGGTGAGGTGTTTCTTTTGTATTTTAACTCACCCTCCCTCAAAGGGTCACGATTATAAGCTGGTAAAATTTAGATGACAGCTGTTATTCTGTTGGAGAAGGCCAGCATGGGAGTTTGGGATATGAAATGTGTGTGTTTTGCTGCCTTGGAGAGTGAGTGATTACCTCAGTTCCTCAGCCAATGGAGATGGTTCCTTAGTGGGGCTGGTCCCTGAGCCAGGTGATTCACAAGAAGTGTTTGATCTTCCAGAAGAATCTTCTATTTGTTTAGTCCTGCTTGAAAGTGGGATTTGTCTTGGGTTGCTCATTGAAAGGCAGCGGTTGGTTATATGATTGAAAAGGCTTAACGAAGGCAGTGATTGGCAAGTCTATGCTTAGCAACTGGGCAAGTTGCCTACCAGAGCAGAATTAGATATGTGATTATAAAACATATAAATCATAGATTTTGACAGGTACTTGTATGGCATATTTCTTTTTATATTATAGCTTATAGGAATACGACTCTAAATCATTTGAAATCCCCATGTGTTGAGCTTTTTTACAGTTTCTTCAATATTTCACTGGTTTTGTAAGATATTCCTTGGTCATTTATCTGTACTGAGAATGTTGATACAGTCTAACTTTAATTGCAGGAATTGAAAAAGGGTAGTATTTTACTGCTTTCCTTATTATTTACTTCATTTGATCCTTCACTTGAATTCAACCTCTGGTAGGCCAGGCATTTTTAAACAATGATGTTTATCCAGCTATATGAAAATAGAAGTTAAATAAATGTGAGCTTCCAAAGTCATTCTCCTTAAGTAAAATTAAATTGCTTTACCAAACAAAAACTTACATATTGGTCTCCTTAAAACCTATGTGCTAAAATGGCTTCTTAAAGTAAGTACAGGATTTGAGAAAGTAATTATCTTTGGAATGTCACAGGTACCCTAAGAAAGCATTGCTTAAAGACACAGCATTTTTGGCCCATCAGGTTTATCTAGTTTTCTGAGCTTTAAGTACAGACTTGTCACTGGTCTTTGGATTAGTTGATACTTATAAGAAATTATAACCACAGACTTTGTTCTCATTTCTGAACAAAACCCAAAATGTATGAAGGAAACCTATAATTTTGCCTTTATAATGATGACTATAAAAAAGAGTTAGTGTTTTGAATAGGAATTTTGAATAGGAGTTCTTTCATATAGCCCGTCCTTGCTTTACAAGATATATATAGATATATATTCCTAAAGAATTGTAGTATAAGGCAAAAGTTGATGTTGAATCTTTTTTGTAATTGAATTATACAATAATTTGAGATATTGTTGTCTATGGCAACATAATTTTAAGATAGTTTTTATAAACTGTACTTAATCATTTCAATATTCATATAGAGAACTCTGCGTATTTCATTTTTTGTTTTGGGCACATATATTTTTCTTTTAACTGCTAATTCTTATTGAATTATTAATATCCAATTATTAACCAATAATTAATATCAATAAGTATTGATTCAATTGTTATTGAATTATGATTATTAATGAATTAATGTAATTCATATATTTCTATTGCTATTGTTAATAATGTTAATATAATTATCTACACATTCTGTTATAGTTTATAAATGTGTGAAACTTTTTGAGACATTAGCTGCCACTGTTAAACTTAATGGGATAGTACCCGTGTGGTGTGGGTGCATATAAACAATAGATATACATAGTGCATCATACTATATGTACATATACAAAACACACGTGTGTGTGTGTGTGTGTGTGTGTGTGTGTATGGTTGTTGTTTTTTAACTCTCATGAGTTCAATTCTCACTTATAGTTGTATGATTTAGGGCAAGTTACATGACCTCTCTAAGATTGTTCCCTCATCCGTAAATGGGGCCAATAATAGTATTTACTTTCAGGAACATCATGAAGATGAAAAATAATACATGTAAAGCCATTAGCTTTGCACATAATAAGCCCTCAATAAATGTTAGTTACTGTTATTTTTCTAATATTATTGCATGTATCCATTGTTTTTTACTGAATTCTAATTCAGAAGAAACACGATGTTTTAAATTCTTCTTTTCTTACTTCCAGGCGTGTCTCAGTAATAAGTAGCAGTAATAAATATCAGTAAAAATTGCTTTGCCCTGAGAATATATGAATAGTTTGTTTTTTGGGAATTTATCTCCCTATTATTAACTTCTTCAAAAATTCAGTTACTTAATATCGTTCTAGTTTTTCATGAAGGTTTTGAAGGTAGATGTGCACCTGCTTCATAATTGAGTATTCTGATGATCCTTGTTTGTAAGAATCAGAAGATAGGTCTGTAGCTTTTTTCTAGTGGTTAGCACAATCTACATTTTACTTCTGTACTATTCTGTCACCTTTTCTTTCAAAGAATAGGCGAGAAAGATGGAAGAAAAATCAATTGGCCCATCTTCAGAATCTTAAAACTCAAATGCATTATTTACTTTTATAGAATCCATTACTCTTGGAGCTCAAGGTAATTAAACAACTGATGTGTTTATTTTACTTTGACCTCCACGTGTCAACAGTCCTGAGATGTTTCCCATAGTCATATGAGAATGCGGTAGTCCAGAGTTTGGCATTGTGACCCACAGTGTTCAGTGTTGTGTTTGGAACTTTGTGTTACTTTCAGTTCCATAGTAAGTGATTAAAAAAATGACTTATAATTGCCACATAAGCTTTTACTTTAATTTAAACTGTCTTCACCGTGTATTATTCATTCCAGTGAATACATCCAATAGATTTTTCCTCTCATGATTTAGGATCTTACCCAGTGTGTTACATGCCAAGAAAAACACATTATTGTAAAGAAGGAACCACACGAGTCCCTTGGAATGACAGTAGCCGGGGGCAGGGGAAGTAAGAGTGGTGAGCTGCCCATCTTTGTGACCAGTGTGCCACCCCATGGCTGCCTTGCACGCGATGGCAGAATCAAGAGAGGTAAGAAAGGCTCCTGAACTATTTCACCACATCTTCTCCCTGAATTCAACTCACATTTAAAAAAATAAAGAATATATACAACGTTTTCTGTGGAACCTGATTTTTTCTAATCCTTTAAAATGTTCCTTGCATATGTAAGCATAAAACCTCTTTATAAGGTTAGAAAAGTGTCTAATGTAAAGGAAAATTGCTGAAGCTTGGTATTTTCTGACAATTATTTAGACTTTTGGATTATTTTATGTTAGAAAAGACGCTAAGAAAATTATGCTTCCCAAATTATGACAGGCTAGATTCTCTGAATGAACATCTCTAAAGAACAGTTGTTGCTTATAATAAAGTGTTTGTGTGGGAGGAAGCTCACAGAGGAGGTGGAGTAGAAGACAAATGTAAAAAGGTAGTGGGTTTAGGAATTAACTCATTTATAATTTTACATTCCCCATCAGTACTATGTAATTTGTATGCATGGGAGTGGGAGTGGTAAAAACAGCATTCTCCTTACACTTGGTTTGTTCATATGGAAAAGCGAGTCTTAAAAGCTGTTTTTCCAAGAATAAAGTTGGATCCCTATCTCATACCACATACAAAAGTTAACTTAATATGGATCCAGGACCTAAATGTAAGATCTAAAACTTTCAGGAAAAACACAAGTGTAAATACTCGTGACCTTTAAGTATATAATGGTTTTCTTAGATCTGACATCAAAAATATAATCAACAACAATAACAAAATAAACTGGACTTCATCAAAATTACAAATTTAATGAAGGACACCACCAAGAAAGTAAAGAGATAACCCACAGAATGGGAGAAAATATCTGTGAGTCATATACCTGATGAAGAACTTGTTTCAAGAGTACATAAAGAATTCTTATAACTCAATAGTAAAAAAGGTGAATAACCCAATTTAAAAATAGGCAAAGGATCCAAATAGACTTTTCTCCAAAGAAAATATATAAATGACCAGTAACCACAGGAAAAGATGCTCAGTGTCATTAATTAGTAGGGGGATGTAAATCAAAACCACTTCACACCCACAGGATTAGTATAATAAAAAGACAAATAATAACAAACATAGCAATGATGTAAAGAAATTGAAACTCATACATTGCCAGTGGGAATGTAAAATGGTACAACCATTTTTGGAAAACAGTAGCAGTTCCTCAAAAGTTAAATGTTAGAGTTATCATATTCCTGGAGAAATGAAAAGATATGGCCACACAAAAATTTATACATGAAGAGCCATAGCAATATTTTTCATAATAGCCAGAAAGCAGAAACAACCCAAAAGTCTATCAGCTAATGAGTGAATCATGCTATGGGATATTATTTGTCCATAAAAAGGAATGAAGTACTGACACAAGCTACAATATAGCTGGACCTTGAAAACATTATGCCTGCGGAAAGAAACCAATCACAAAAAAACCACATATGATTCCATTTATATGGAATACCCAGAACAGGCCTACCTATAGAGTCAGAAAGTAGATCAGCGACTGGTTAGGAGGGGGAAAGGAAGTGACTGCTGATGGGTACAGAGTTTTTTTGGATGATCTAAAAATGAGGTGTAATGGTTGCACACCCTGTGACTATACTAAAAACCATAAAATTGTAACTTTAAATTAGTGAATTGAATGTTATATGAGTTATATCTTAAGAAGGCTGCTTGCTATGTTTTTGTTTTTTTTAAGTTATATGTCCAAGTGTAGAATTGGGGGTAATTTTATTTCCTTCTTATTTATTTTGTTTTCTAAATTTTCTGCAACGAGAATGCTTTAATAATCTGAAAAATAAATGCTAAATTGGGAGAGGAGGATTTTCTGTAGGCTTTCTTGGTACAGGTGTGTGTTTCCTATAAAAGTAATTCTTTCCTTCCTAACCTTTTATTTAATCCTCATTGCCCTTTTTTATTATATTACCTGACAGAGGAACAAACACTTTTTTTTCCTCAAGCAAGAGAAGATGTTGAAATCATAAGTTATATTTCTTTGTGTAGGCCCAAGGATATAGTCTCTTTACATATTCTGATATGGGCTGTCTTTATGTACAAAACCATGTAAATATGAAACAGTATATTAAAAATTCATTTCTGGGCCGGCCGAGTGGCGCGATGGTTAAGAACTGGCTTGGGACGCCAGAGGGCCCCGGTTCGGATCCCACATATGAGGGCCAGTGACACTGCCCTCCACAGCTAAGATGCTGAACAACAGCTCAACCTGGAGCTGGGCTGCGGTGAGTCGCTGGCGATGGCTTAGGCTGCAGCCCCTGTGGCAGTGGGTTGCCATGGGCTACCGTGTGTAGCCAGCAGCCAGCGTGAGCGGCCCTCAAGCCACAGTGAGCAGCCGTCCAGAAGCCGGCGACAGATCTGCCTCGCCTGGGAAGAGCGCAATGATGGTGCCAACTTGGGCAGTGAAGCAACGTCCTCCACAACTAGACTGAAGAACAAAAGGACAGCAACTTGTCTGCTCCCCTTCCCCCAATTCCCCAGCACTGTTCCCATCCCTCCAATTCCCCAATAAAAATCTTAAAAAATAATAATAAAATAAAAAAATAAAAAATTCATTTCCAGGAGCAAAGGATCAAATAATTTTTGAATTGGAAAGAACAGTAGAAATCATTGAAGCTCAAAGAAAGAGAAACGAACTTGCCAGGGCCTGACCCAGTTAAATGAGAGCTAATGAAATTCCAGTAGAATCCACGGGGCCTCAAGCCACACTGTTTCCTATATACTATGAAATTATTTTAAAGTTTTGAACTGGTTTGAAATGTTTTTCATGAATGGTATTTTTTTCTCAGTATTATAAACATTACAAAGAAGTAAAAAATGGCCTTTTACCTAGTCTGAGTCATTGGAACTAACTTTTGTTGATTAGTTTACAAATAGCCGAATTTATAGGGAAATAATCACTTGGCCGCTCAGCTCATGTTTCTTGTCTTGTCATTTGAACAGGTGATGTATTGTTGAATATCAATGGCATTGATTTGACCAATCTGAGCCACAGCGAGGCTGTGGCTATGCTGAAAGCCAGTGCTGCGTCCCCCACCGTCGACCTCAGGGCACTTGAGGTCCAGGTGGCTGAGGAGGCCACCCAGGCCACAGATGGGCTGCCAAGCACGTTCAGTGAGAATGAGTATGATGCCAGTTGGTCCCCATCGTGGGTCATGTGGCTGGGGCTTCCAAGGTACTGACAGTTTTTCCGTGGTCTTATGAAATAATCGTAATGTCATCTTTTTTTTAGTGCGTAACCCAGTAAATTCACTCACTGGGGAAAAAAAGGGCTTTTGTTCGATCAAAGTAGCAACATTAAATCAAGTAACCAAAAAAAAAAATGGTAATTTTTCTTAGGTTATTATATTTTAAAAGGTAAATTTACTAATAAGAACCAAACCAAAAAGGCACATCTGTTTATAAAAATGAATAAAGCCATCTGTGCATTTCTGGGAAGGCTTGTAAGTGGACGAGCCTGAGATTGCACGCTCAGCCTCTTCTCGGGAAGGCTGCCACTTACAGCGTCCATTCTGATACATGTGCGTGGGATCACAGCGTGGGACCTTGTCCTATCCCAGAAACCTTTCTAAAAGCCCTTTTTTCTTAATCCTTTTAACTCTCCTAAAAAGGCAGGGTGGACATACGCATCTTTAAGCCAAACCATTGGCATTCGGGAGTAGCTGCTCCTAACAGCCTTTCTGAAGGTTTCTGCTTCGTGACTGACCTATCAGCCAGGCATTCGGAGCTGGTTGCTGTCCCGTCAGGAGAGCATTGGACCTCCACATGGTTGTTGCATTATCCGATATTGTAGTAGGAAGAAGGTTTCCAGATCAGTTTGGGTTCCTAATATATAAAAGTATCCTAAAACTGAACTATGATGAACCATTCTGACTCTTAATTCTTTAAAATGAAAAGAGCATCTCGGTTTATTTGGACTAAATTTGTAATAATCACTAGAATTTGTATAGCACTGGATGGTTTATAAAGTACTTTCACAAAGAATAACAGAAGAAGCAAGGATATTATTGGATTATTGGATATTATTGGATTATCCAGTTGGATTGTTTGCTGATAATCTTAACTTGCTGACTTGTCTTCTTGGTTAAAAAAAAACCAGAAAGGCCTAAAGCTAATAGAATTCATGTCTCAAGGACCTGTAAGGACCTTGTACGTGTATGTGGACCTGATGGAGAAAGATTTTTTTTATGACAGCGATGATTTAACTCCCTCATATCTGTCTATTCCATGCACCAAAACTGATTGATTTTTTTTCTCACTGAAAAGTCAGCATAGACTTAAGTGGCTGCTATTACACGCCTACAGACATGCAATCTAAATTGTGAAGTTGAAGCCATTAGTGGGAACCTCGCTGATCTTGTTAAATATAAATATTCAGCCCGATGCTATGACCAGTCAGTTTAAACCTAGAATGTCCAAAAGGGCCCTTCATACACTAAGGGGTGAGACATCGTCTCCTCGTGCTGTGCTGAGCTAAGCAGGTCCCACCACTGCTGATGGACAGACAGCCCAGTGATGTCCTAGAGAGATGCTCTCACATTGGGGCTGCCATTAGTTTTCCTTATCTGTTATTCCAGTCTAGTTTGGGGGTTCGCATCCTTACCCCTAGTGTGTAGAGCATTTTCTGGTGTGCCAGGAAGAATGACAACAGTTTTAGATGAGAAATACACAGTTTAGTACAATCTATTTTTGATCCCCTGTAGGGAAAGAACACCTGTCAATAAAAGGTCACTATTCAGAGGTCTGTATTGTGTGCAAACCTGTGTTCAACAACCAGGTGTCAAAAGGGCAGCTGCTCTGTGGGTGCAGATGGCCCTTGAAGCCGGCTTCACACCACACAGGACACCAGCTCTGCTTTCCTGGAAAGGGAGGTTCTTCCTTTTTTTTTTTTTTTTTTTCTTTGCTGGGGATGTACCAGACAACCGTTTGTTTGGTTTGATTTGTTTTTCTTTTGCAGAAGATTTGAATACTGAAAATAATCTACACTTTCCCTAAAACACCAGGCCAATGCCTGACACCCTGCTCCCTACCAGAAGCCCCTTTGAAGGCTTTTCTCATCAGCAAGTCTAAGAAACCAGACCAGATTAGAAGTTCTAGCATACTGAGTATCACTTCATGGAACTGACTTTATTAAGAAATCTTTTTAATACATTAAAACAAGAAACCTTGCCTTGGGTGCCTCTTTAGCCAATTTCACCTAAAAATGAAAGCTATTCCTCAGAGATATATTTTTCTGTATCATTCGGGGTTCTTTGTTGTTCTTTCTATTTTTACTCATACTTTTAAGTTTTCTATGGATTTGTTCCCAAATCCATAGAGCTATGGATGTGTAAATAAAATTTTTTTTCTCCCTCCCTGAACAGCGTCCTCCAAACTGGCAGTAGCATTTTAACTGTAGCATCTCAGTGTCCCTTATATTAAAAGTGGGGGGATAGATTTTTTTGTTAGTGTTTTCCAGATTGAGTTCCCTATTTTGTCAGTTGGAGTCTCCTTTTAAATGAAAGCATTTTAATTGAAAGAGGAAAGAAGAAATTTTAATCCCCTGTGTAGAGATGGTGATCTTACTTGCTTTGGAAGCTGCCATACTGCTCATTTTCTTCTTTCATCTGAGTGCTGAGATCCGCAGGACTAGACCCCTTTGTACCACTTTTTTGTAGATGTAGATTTTTTTTTCACTAGTGTCAGGTGTACAAAAGAACATAGTGATTAGACATTTACACACCTTACAAAGTGATCACCCCAATAAATCTATTACCCATCTGACACTGTACACAGTTATTACAACATTATTGACTATATTCCCTATGCTGTACTTTATATCCCTGTGACTATTTTTAAAATTATAGTTGACATTCAGTATTTTATATTAGTTTCAGGTATACAGAATAGTGGTTAGACATTTATATAATTTATGAAGTGATCCCCGTTAAGTTTGGTACCCACATGGCACTATTGGGTTGTCGGAAAAGTCATGATGTATTTTTTCTGTTTTTCGTTGCAAAAATGTGCCATGACTTTTCTGACAACCCAATAGTTTTGTAGGTACAAATTTTAAAGTTACAAAGTTTGAAGATACAAGTACATATCAGAATGGAGGACCTTGTTGACAGTGCAGTGAACAAATGTAGACCCAGACCATTTTATACAAATTTCTGAGGTATGACTTATCACCAAGTTTATTTAAGCTCTGTGTGCACACGTGCATGTGCACTTGGAAAGACAAGACTGAAAAACATTAAAGAACTTGGAGTCTCCCCAGGACTGCATCTGTGCTAGTAAATGGGTCATCAAAACAATATATTCAGAAGGCAATAAAGTTTTCCCAACGGTGGTGAGTATAACATGGGATGAAGTTATAACAAAGATGAACAGACTATAAAAGCCTCCACATTAATTGTTTCTGATTTTTGTGTTTGTTTATAGTTCCCTTCATAGCTGCCATGATATAGTTTTACGAAGAAGCCACTTGGGAAGTTGGGGCTTTAGTATTGTTGGTGGATATGAAGAGAACCACACCAATCAGCCTTTCTTCATTAAAACCATTGTCCTGGGAACTCCTGCTTATTATGATGGAAGACTAAAGTGAGTCTTGTTACATTTACTGCTATGATTCATGCTTGTTGTGAGGGACACGCCCTAGACCCGGAGTCAGCTCCAAATTCAGCCTGTTGTCTGCTCCTGTTAATAAAGTTTTATTGGAACATGGCCACACTCCCTCATTTCCATGTTGTCCGAGGCTACTTCTGAGCTCTAGTGGCAGAGTTTTGTGACTGAAACCAGATGATCTACTAAGACTAAAATATTTATTTACCATCTGGCCCTTTACAGAAAAAAATTTGCCAACCCTGATCTAGACGGAAGCATCACCTTTCCCACCATGCCATTCATAGTTGTAGTTTGCTAATCTAATGACAGGACTGAACCTGAGTCATCTGATTGAATACACACATTGTGATGTGACAAGTTTGGAGCAGTGTTCCACACTGCCCACTCAGGTCCAGTCCTGTCATTAGATGACCCTGCTTTATTTTTCCCCATAGCACTTATGTCTACCTAACATTGTATTTATGCCAGTTCCATGTGGAAGGACTTTCGTTGCATTTATTGTTATGCCCCTGGCAGCTAGAACACGGCCTTGCATATATAGTAAGGTCTCAATAAATGTTTGACATTGAGCGTGTGATAGTTTACAGTGTGCCAGGCACAGCATGGCGTGCTTGTGATTGTATTATTGAATCTCCTCAACAACCCTATGAGGTGCTTTTGGTGGTGTTATTCCTGGCTTATAAATGAGATAACTAAGGCTTAGAAAGGTTAAGAAACTTGTCCACGATCAGATAGCTGTGAGTGGTTGACCGCCATTCACACCCAGAGCTGCCTGGTTCCATAGCCTTCCCCATTACTCCTCTGCCAGGTATCACCCCTGGGCAGAAAGTACTCGCTCAGCCTACGTGCAGTCTCTCTCCTTTTTCAAAGCTCAGGCATGGGGAGAAGGAAAGGGTGTTTATATCAAGAGTTTCTACAGAAAGGAGACGGGTGATTCTAAGTTCTTAGTGCCTAGTTTTTGATGAAAGAACCAGCTCTTTTGTCATGTTGACATCCTAGACAGATGGCTGCACAAATGCAGAGTTTACACAGAGTTTGCAAACAGGAAATGACATCGAAATCATATTGTGAAAAGCTGATCAGGGTTAGTATGCTCCAGATCGGTCTTTTATTAGATTATTTAATAAGATGGAAAGATTTGTTTTACAAAGAAAGAGTAGGGGGAAATGAATTAACTGTTCTCTTAGCTAAATTACTCGGTCAGTTTAGGTCTCGGTTAATTAGTTTATAATTTGCGTTCCACCTATTTCCAAAAAGAAATTGAGGTAGCTAGCAATAAAATAGTATATTCATATATTTTTTAAAGATTTTATTGATGAGTTGGGGAGTTGGGGAAGGGGAACAGTATTGAGGAATTTGGGGAGGGGAACAGCCAAGTTGTTGTTCTTCAGTCTTAGTTGTGAAGGGCACAGCTAGCTCAGCTCCAAGACCAGTCGCCATCTGGCCACCCATCGGCAGCTCGCTGCCTCTCAGCTCAAGGTGCCATGTTCAGTCTTAGTTGCAGGTGGGCACAGCCACCATCCCATGTGGGAGTCGAACTGGCAACCTTGTTGTTAGGAGCACATGCTCTCACCAGCTGAGCGTGTTGCCACCCGTTGGCAGCTCTGCGGCAGCTCAGTTCGGGTACAGCTCACTGGCCCATGTGGGAATTGAACCAGCGACCCTGTTGCTCAGAGCTCATGCTCTTAACCAACTGAGCCACTTGGCCAGCCCCACGCATATTCATATTACAAACTAAAAACCAAAAATCATAAAAGATAGACAGATCTTCAGGTTCATTTTCCATTTGTGATAATCTTGCTCGGAGGACAGTGAGCATCAACCGCTGACTGAAGAGGAGGTATGGGTCTTGTTCCCAATTTCACTGAGTCCTCAACTGAGTGAGCTCTAAAAGTGAAAAGAGAACTAACAGTCAAAATAGTAAGCAACCCCCCTCCTAATGCATTATCTGGTGTTTATAAAAGAGGCAACAGATTTCTTCACCCAATCCTATTTTGCTTAAGCTTTTATGACAATTATTCTGTTGACCCTTGAAATCATCACCAGCTACAGGAGACGTTGGCACAGGGGTATACTTGATTGGCCGATAAGGCTTAAAAAATCGCCCCAGATGTTCCCCATAGTCATTGACAGTTGGTGGTGAAGTGACACTGTGATTTCATGCTGAACACATCTCAGAATACTGTTTTTGATACTGTGAAAATAGTACAGCCTGTGTGTTTCTGTCTGTCTTTGTCCAGATGTGGAGACATGATCGTGGCCGTGAACGGCCTGTCGACTGTGGGCATGAGCCATTCCGCTTTGGTCCCCATGCTGAAGGAGCAGAGGAACAAGGTCACCCTGACGGTCATTTGCTGGCCTGGCAGCCTGGTGTAGATTTTGAAACTGGTTATGAGTCCACCATCTTCCCTTTTCAGGTTCTACAAAGAAAGCCCTTTAGTTGTATAGTGTTTCTGGTTGTTAGGAGCTGGTCTGTGCAGGGCCCAAAACCACTAAGATTGTCCTTCTGTTATTATTTCAGTGGTTTTCCACAAGCGAGCCACATTTCTTTCAGCTGGGAACCAGTCTTCTGCTAATCCTGTGAGTTCATATTTTCAAAATGTGACCTATAATCATGAATGAAGTCTGCCCAAACTGTGACCCAACCAGCTGGGCTCGAGGGTTTCTGGTGGCTGTTTGTTTTCACGGACTGAGTCATAAAATGAGCTACACATGCCCCAGGACCAGTACCAGTGACAACAGTTGCTGTAGCGTTTACTGTCTCTGTTGCCACCAGTGCCATGAGTGGATACATTTTAAATTTGGATGGTAACCCTTTCCCGTTTTTTCATCGGTGCCAACATTTCAACACATCGTGCTGTTTATAAGGTGATTTTTCTGGCTATTTTATTTCTAGTTTAATCTCTCAGTACCTATAAATGATGAAAGCATGAGTTTGACACTACTAAAAAATAATGTACTGTTATTAGAATAGCAGAGAATAAATGCTAATGTTATCCAGTGACGCAGGAATTTGGGAGATAATTATAGTTTAGTGCTGGAGATGGTAAAAGCTGCGTTTACTTGAACACGTCCAAAAGCATTAAAGATTCTTTTCCAAAGGAATGTTTTGTTATGTAGGAAAATTTTGAAGCAGTTTTTGCTGAAAATCATTTTCTAGAGTTTATAATGTCCTATCAGCAAACTCAGCTGGTAACGTTTTTGTGATTTATGTAGTTAAACTAGATGGTAAAGACAAAACCATATTGCAATTAAATACACACTCATATTACAGCTAAGTAGGAGAAGGTAGGCCTTTTTATTTTATTCTTATAAGACTCTTGAGTGTTTTAGAAACCCTTATTTTTCCCATTATTTCTTTAATTATGAACTTAATTATCTCAAGAAAAAGTCTGAAAAGTTCTGTGTGTGTGTGTGTGTGTGTGTGTGTGTGTGTGTGTGGTCTTGTTTCTTTTTTTGTTTTTCTGTTTGTTTTTTGTTTTCTTTTTGTCTGAAACAGCAGGTTTTAGATGTTAATATCTATCAATTAGTTTTTGGTCAGTAGACAATTTCATATTTTTTGAAATGTTTTGAAAACTATGACCAGCCCATTTTGTTTGTCCCTTCTTCAACATGGTTGTCCTTTGGAAGAACATATAAAGAAGTGAATAAGATAAAAAATATCTTTACCTTATTAATGTTGTGCATACTTGAAAAAAGTTTCATTAGAAACCTAGTTCAGAATCTGAGCTAATTTACATATGACCTCTGTAATAAATGGTATTGATGATCAGAGAATGTATTTCAGAATACTACAGTATATTATGAAGCATGACCACTTTATTTTCAAACTTAGCAATTGCATTGCTGGGGTGTATTGTATCTGCAGCATGTCACTGATTATTCCAGTTAGTTTTATAATGATTTTTTAAAAACATATCTCTTTTGAATAAATAAGAAATGGCAACAATAATTGTTGCTAACTTGTTCAACCCCTTAGCCACACTGTATGGTCAACAGATAACCAAGATACAGTGGAATGCCCCATACAGTATATTACTGTTATGTAATGATTGGTATTGGAAGCAATTTGATACTGAAATGCTTTGATATGCTAATTGACATGGAACAAGTTTTTTTCCTGCTCCCCAAATAGAATTTTGTAACCTACTTTGCTGTTTTTAAAAACATTTTGTAAGAATGCGTCATTTTGGGGGGAATGGCCATCCATCAACAAATATCCTAACTGCTACTTTGTTATATGAGTATATAAAATACTTTCATTGAATTCAGTTGTATAATGAGTATTTTGAAAGAAATTTTTTTCAATATTATTTTTATCATGGAAATATTGAAATCAACTTAAGCTAATTCAGTTTTATTACAAAGGACTATAGCTTTTGGTCAGAATGCTATTTGGTGATGGAAACTTGTTCATAATTTATTGTTACTGTTGAAATATTTTAATTTTGTCATTTGAAGCTCAAATAGTGAAATCTTTCCATTTGTTCTGTGCCTTCAGTTTAAATTATTTCAGGATTTTTCAGATATGTTTAAACAATCATTCTGGATGGAAATAAATGTCATCCTTTCCATACAGCGACGTTGTGTCTTTTCTGGAGTGTGTGATCCTTTTGTCTGTGGCACCACTGTCATTGTTACAGTGTCCCAAGCGTGACCCCTCAGGTCACAAGTCCACCTTTTAGTTCTCATTCCTGTAGGCAGAGCACATGTGATCCCTGGTGACTCTCAGGGTTTTGCTGACACAGGACCTCTAGACGTGTGGCTAGTACCTGAAATGTGACCAGTGCTACGTGTTGAAATGAGAATTCCTAGGATATATTGGATTATATAAAATAGATTATTAAAATTAATTTCACCCATTTCTTTTTACTTTTTTAAATTGGTTACAGGAAAATTTTGAATTGCTTGTAGGGCTCACCTTGTATTTCTATTGAGCAGCGGTGCTGGTCTCCTCACCTTTTCATTGTCACAGCACTTACCAGGCCAGGCGGTCCTGACATGGTTTCTATTCTTCTAGAGCTATGATCATTTGCTGCATTAAAAAAAAAAAATTGTTTTTAATTAGAAGAGAGTTGTCTCTTGATTTTCTAGTAAATCAAGTTCAAGTCAAGGCCTCTGTGTCTGACCCCAGTCTGGTTTTCCAGAGTCCTGTTTCCCCTCCATACTCCAGCAGGCTCCCTCCCCACCAGGTGCTGCCCCACACATGCTTACCGTGTCGCTTCCCCGCAATGCTCTCCCTCTCGGCATGTCACATGACCCTCCTGGGATGCACCTCCGCCAGCCTTTATATTTGTGTTTACTGTGGCTCTCACCACTTCCTACCTAATTACTATCAGTTTTAAGTACCATCTTTCATGGCCACCTTGCGATGTTGAGGACCACTAATACCCTAAGTCTGTAGCTCCCACAGTCTGGAGACTGGATAGCCTGTTGCTTTAAGGTACCTAATCTCAGTCCCCCAGAATGAAACTTTGTGTCCCCAAACATTGGCCTACTTCCACTCTATCTTCCAATCCAAACTCTTATCAGAGTAACTTTTCAAAACCCTAACTTTGATCATCGCTTTCATCATATCCTCTCTCGGTTTAAAATTCTTCAGTAGTTCTCCGCTGCCTACAGGAAGGTGTCAGGATGGCTTGGCACAGCATGAAAGGCCCTTCGTGACCTGGCCCCTGCCTATTCTCTAATCGGACCTCCCACCCTTACCTACCTCAGATCTAAACCTCCACCCTGCCCTCCCATGTCTACAAGGGCTGACTTGGCTTAAGTGACATCGCCTCTCACGGCAAATATTTACCAACCTCTTAGAGGCAAGTTTTCTCTTAGAAGGTTATATTAAATTATATTTTTACAGTCATGGGTATGCATTAGGGGGAAGGAAACAGGAACTTGTCAGGTAGGGGCTTGATGACCACTGTCTGCAGCAGTTTTTAAAATTGGACATTAACTATCAGAGACTCTGTACCTTCTGAGAGCCCAAGGTATTCCCAAGGAGAATCTAGGCCTAGCCTCCATTTCCTGCCCCAGGACCGTTGGCCATGCCCTTCTTCAAGTTCCCTTGTTTGCGAGGCTCTGGACGGTGTTGAAGAGTGTCGGGGGATGCTGTAGGAGGTCCTCCACTGGAGTTTGTCTGCAGGTCTTTCTCACGATGAGACGGGTTATGGGATTTGAGGAGGAAGAATGCCAAGGCGAAGCGCCCTTTTCCTCATGTCACATTGAGTCTATACTGGCGTATGATTTATGACTTGATTTTGACCATGGTCATCTGTCTTAAATAGTGTTGGTCAGGTTTTTCCCCAGTAAAGTTACTCTTCCTTCTACCACTCTCCCCCAATACTGGACTCCTTGGACAGAAGTCACTCTGCACAGCCCACATGTGGAGTGGGGGGTTCTGTTCTCCCTGCTTTTAGTTTTGAGCTGTCAGGGGAATGAGGGGCCCTGGTGCTGTGTAGGGAGGGCCTTGCCTGCGGGTGGAAGGAGGGAAGTAAAATCCTTGCTAATATTAGGCGTTTATGTCTTTCTTTAAAAACCCTCCCTTGACTCTGCTGGTTGTCTCCGTTTCATGCTTTTTCACTATTTTTGAAATTATAACAGTTTTCCCAACACAAAAAAATTGTAAAAATTACAATGAATACTTGTCTACTCACTACCAGCCACTGCTATCGATGTTCCTTCTCCACTTGAACCTGCTTGCTTCTGGCCTTCCCGTATATCTTCTCATAATTACACTGCATATTTCGCCTTCAAATATAGTTTTGTTGTGCATTCTTTTAAACTATATAAATGAGGCCATGGTTATGTGGTGTTCTGCAACTAACTGCTTTTCCTCCAACAAGATTCACTCATGTTTGCTGTATGCAGTTCAAGTTCATTTTCACTGTTATATATTCAATGATAATTTTATACCTGTTCTTTGGTTGATGGACATTTAAGTTATTTCCTTTTTTATTTTTTATTTTTTGCCATCATTAATGGTGCTGCTGTGACCACTCAAAAACAAGTCTCCTTGTGCACCTGGGGGAGTTTCTTTAGGGCAGTAGGGTATTCGACATTAGCTCCCCAAAAGAATCACTTAGAGAACCTTTAGAAAACACTAATGCTAATTTCGTTGATCTGGGGTGGGACATGGGTATCAGTTTTGTTTTGTTTTGCAGCTCCTCGGGTGAATAATGTGCAGCCATGGTTGAAACCTACTGGCCTAGGAGTGCACTGCCAGATCTTAGGGTAGATACATCTTAGAGTAATTCACCTCCCCAATGGCTGTTCCAATGTCCATTTCTACTAGTGATGTGGGCGGGTTTTGTTGTCCCACATTCTTGCCAACATTTGGTTTTATCAAAATGAAGAGGGTGAAATGGCATCTAATCGTGGTTTCGATTTGCATTTCCTTGATTACTGGTGAAATCCAGTATCTTCTCACATGTTCACTAGCCATTCAGTATCCTCTTTGGTGAATAATCTGTTTGACCATTTTCTAATAAGCTGTTTGCTTTTTTCTTACTGATTTATAGATTTTTTTTATTCTGGATATTAATTCTGAGTGGATTATATGTGGTGCAAGCATCTTCTAACTTGTGACTTTTCAACTTTGTAATGATGCAATAAACTGAAGTTCATCATTTTAATGTAGACAAATGTATAAAGAGTAAGTTCCGTTTTTATCTGCTTCTGAAATTTCTTTTGCCAAGTGTCCATTTATATTGTTTTGATTATTGTATTTTTTTTCTTCCATCGTATGTTGTGCTTTCAACTTAACCTGCTACTTTGTGCTTTATGTTCTACTGAATTATAAATCTGTTTCTATTCATTTAGTGGTTACCCTTGGATTTTTCTTTGTGCGTATTTACAAAAGTCTTAAGTTGGTCAGTCAATAGCCTTGTCCTCCCTCTGCACCATTTGGGGACCTTAAACTCCAGCCATGCTACAGTCAACATTGGCTAGTATTGTAGTTCCTCCATGTTTTTTTTTCTCCAATTAGTCATTATTATTATCATTGTTTTAAACAGTTAAGATTTGTTTAGATTTAGTTTCTGAACTGTATAAAATGCAGAAAAACTAATATAAACACAGTTCGTGGTAGTTCTTAACATTACAATACTATCCCACAAAGAACGTGTGGGAAACAGAAGGCCAGTGAGGGATTAATGGGTTGAAGCTGGAGTCCAGATGTAAAGGAAGATTCGTAAAAGCTTGGGATGCAGCGTCATCACCATCATGTTGCCAGCTTCCAAGCTGTTTGGAGTCACTAAAGCAATCGCTCATTTTCCAGTCGGGGGAGAAAACGCAGGCCAGCAGAGATTACTGTCACCAACTTTTCTAGAACAGACACAACTTATGTTATAAATCCAGACATGTTTTATGGGAAAAGTTGGAAGGCAGATTTAGAGTGTTCCTTTTCTCAAGATACGTGCTGTGCAATATGAGCAGGTTTTCAGCCAACAGGGTCCTCGTACCCCATCATAGCTATTACACTCTTCTCACTAAAAGACCATGGGGTCTGTGAATTCCATTGCTACAACTTCTGAACTTGATTTTCATTCTTTTGTCTATTAAAGTAGGCTGTGGCTTTATGGTTCCTCCAATACTTGAAGCTTTAGTGAGATAAATGGATGGTTAAAATTGCATTTGAAGTTAACCAACCTGAATTTCAGCTTCTAAGGGTAAGACACCCAGTTCATCATGCCTAAAGCTCCACTATGATGGTAGAGCAAAGCCCCATTAATTCAGACTTAACTAATTGGGATTTTGAATGCTAGACAGAGTAGAAGTTAACTTGGCACTTCATATAAAGAACGGGTATCTTGAATGAACATACTGACAAATGGAGGGTGGGGTATTTAAGCTGCACGCTGAAGTGTACTGTCTTCGCGTTGCCTTAAGCACTTGAGGAATACGCATGCACCTTCACCTGAATGATACGTTTCTTTCCTGTGTGGTCATTTAAATAAGAATTTAGCCAGCACTGACTATGTGCCTAACATATTGATGGGCTCTGAATCACTTTATAACACCTAACTTTATCTTCATAACTCAGACTTCCATTTGTCACATTTGGTGATAAGCAAAACTGTATAGTTACACCAACCTAGTAAGCTGCTGCCCGGTCACTGCCTAGGAATTCATAATTGAGCTTTTCTCTGCCTGCTGAAGGAAGGGCTTCCGCACCTCAGGGTCCTAATCCAAAAGCTCTTCGCCATTTAATAGTGCGAATCTATTCCATTTATGCTACCAATTAATTTCTTTGGCAACACCAAAGCTCTTTAGAAGTAAAGTTGTACATGTAAGCACAGTGCCTACTGGCTGTGAAGTGCCTAAGGTAGGAGATGCTAAAACATAATCACACACAGGAATAAGCGACCAGCCCTTCCAGACCTGACAGCACCCAGCTCATGACTCCCACAAGGAGGAGGCAGCTGTGGCCCCAGTGGCTGCGTGCCAGGCACTTAAAGATTTCCATCTGAGCTCTATTCACTCACCTGCAAGTAATGCTTTGAAGCTGGGCTATTTCTCAAACTTCTATCAGCAATCACCTCTTTACCTCAGTAGTTTTCAGTTTCAGGGTGAACCCAACTGCA